ATTTCCATCCGTTCTGCCACCTAAACGTCAACCTGAAGCCAAAATCAACAGAGAGGCACGAGTAGGCTCTTCCTTTTTTTTCATCTCTCTTTCTCTTATTGCCCCTTTCGAATTATCTCTTTCTTTTACATATACATATTTTATATAAGGAATTTTTCAAAATTATCTATATTCAAAAATATCAATAATTTTACTATTTTATTGTTATTCTTGATGCATTGAACACATCAAAATATTTGAGCAACCAAAAAAAAAAAAAATTTTTTTCCATTGTCCTGGTGCCACACTGTCTAGCTCTAAAATGCTGACTTGAAAATAAATAAATTTTCAGGTTAGTCAAATGTCAAAAATTTTTCAAGTGTTATGGGGAGTGAAAAAGCAAATATTTATCGAAGGTGCACAGAATCTTTAAAGAATTCCATCATCAGGTGCTGAATCGTATAAAGAATTTATGGAATTTTTGACATATTACAAATAACCACGATAATAATTTATATAAAAATTACTGCAATTATTTCTAAATCAAAAAAATGGTTTTTAAAATTTAGATATTTTTTTTTGTATTTAAAAAATCACTCGCAGAAGAATATTTTGCGTTTCAATATTATAAACGAAAAGAAGCAATGACGTGTGTCAAAAATGAAATTCCATCCGATCCACTTCGTTCAGTTATATTCCACTCAAGAGGCGAGAAACTTGCGTATATGTAAGAAGAAGAATGAATGAATGAACGAACCAAGAAATGAAGCATAGACATCTACTGGCCTCCTCTTCTTTTTTTTTTCTTCTTCTTCACTCAATGGAATCGAAAGAGATATCTGTGTGGTCATTTTTCAACAAGAGTATCCTAATGCCTTCAACACACGTGGCATCTTGCAACGTCATTTTCAAGAGACATTCTATCACCCTAGAATGTTTTTTTTATTTTCTCCAAGCATATATATGTATGATGCATACATTTTATAAAATCAGTAAACAAAAAAGATATGGCTTCTTAAATTTTTCAATGACCACCAAGTACCTATCATCATCATCATTTTAATATGAAACTGCTTTTTATGCTTTCATTCTTCTCATATATATTAGGACAAAAAATATTTATTTTAAAATAAAGAATATTTTTTATTAAAAAATTATTGAGCCCACAGAAAATTAAAAGGCATTAAAATAAGCTGCAACGCTTATTATTTTAATCCAATTTTGCTTATTTTAATCCATTTTGGTATTAAAATAAGCAAAATTGGATTAAAATAAGAAGCGTTGCAGCTTATTTTAATGCCTTTATGATAATTATTAATTGCATTAGTAAATAAATATTACAAATATTTATAAATATTTGTAATTTATAAATAATAAATCAGAATTTTAAAAATAAAACAAAATTTGATATATATGAAAATAAATGATCTGGGAAATTGTGTGTATTTTTTCTGTTAAAAGAGCGTTAAATAATATGGGCGGATCGTAGACGACAAGAAATTTCTTCCGCTATATAATCGTTAACACTCCTTAGAATGAGTAAAACAGGACCTATATCGGAAACATCAATATCTCATTCCTAGGAGTTGGATGATCCGTCGGGACACGACCTTTTGTGGTCGATTTTGAAAAGATCATCCGGCAGGACACACGCAAAGGAAGAAATACTTTTAAATGTGAGCCTGTCATCAAAATAATTGGTAGAAAATACTTTGCGAAGATGAAATGTTTTTTTACGTGACACATATTTCTCAAATTGGATATAATTGAATGTCATCATGTATATAAAAAAAAAAAGATGATATTTTGAAGAAAAACCGTAAAAGACAAATTTCTTAAATAATATTATTAGATCACGATCTCTATTATGATCGATCGATAATGTTCGTGTCATTTTTAGATCCATGACATTTTATGACCCAGGTGAAAAAATTAACGTTACTAACGTTACTTATGTTACTAACGTTAGTACCTATAAAAAAATTAAGAGTTTCTAAAATATATTTTCACAGAAACTTTGCCACTACTTTCCCATTACCACTTTCACTTCCACTTAAACTTTTTATAATTTTCATTCCCATTTCCACTTCTACTTTTTCTAATTCTCATTCGCACTTCTACTCTTTTTAATTCTCATTCCCACTTCACTTCCACTTTTTCTAATTTTCATTCCCATTCCTATTTCCACTTCCAGTTTTTTATATTCATTGCCACTACCACTTTTTCTAATTCTCATTCACACTTTCACTTCCACTTGTTCCAATTTTCATTCCCATTTCATCTTCCACTTTTTTATTTTCATTACAACTTTTTTATATTTTCACTCCCACTTCCATTCCTAATTTTTTAAATTTTCATTATCATTTTCACTTTTTCTAATTTCCATCCATGGTAATTAAAAAAAGTGGAAATGGTTGTGTAAATGGAAATTAGAAAGAGTTTTAGTCGAAATGGCAACAGCTAATGAAAATTAGAAGTGGAAAAAATGGGAGTAGAAGTGGGAATGAAAATTAGAAAAAGTGGAAGTGGAAGTGAAAGTGGAAATGAGAATTAGAAAGAGTGGAAGTGGGAATTGAAGTGCGAATGAGAATTAGAAAAAGTGAAAGTGGAAATGATAATTAGAAAGAGTGGAAGTGGGAATTGAAGTGCGAATGAGAATTAGAAAAAGTGAAAGTGGAAACGGTAATGAAAATAAAAAAGTGGAAGTGATAATAGAAATGAAAATTATAAAAAGTGCGGGTAAGAACATTAAATACTTCCTGGTGGTCGATTTTCGACAAATTTCTGCAAAAATACAATTTAGAAACATTTTCTTAATTTTTTTATAGGTATACTAACGTTAGTAACATTAGTAACGTTAGTAATGTTAATTTTTCTACCTGGGGAAGAAAAGGTAATATCAAATTAAACCTTGCTTTTTTCGGGGGTTTTTTTTTTTTTGGTATAAAAAAATTAACTTGAACGGATTTAAGATAAGAAAAGCTTCTCTCTCTCTCTCTCTAGAGTTTTAATCATAGAGATATATAATTCTAGGTATGAAGCTGTAAAAGGTCGAAATTTAAGCACTTGGTTACGGTCAATTATTCTTGCTTCCTCTCCCTCGTATGTTTAGTATATATGAAGTTAGGATGATGGGGTGTGACATTGCCAAGCCAACAGTCGGTCTCCCATTTGCGATCAAACGGTTGAACGCCTCTGCGACAAATGACTCGCGTGCTCTCTTTCTCTCTCTTGCTTTCTTTCTTTCACATCTGTGTGTGCGATACTTAGCTTAGTTTTTACTTTTCTTTTTTTCTCTTTCCATTCGTTAATGCATCATTACATTTATATACCGCAAAAGGATTCTCACAATTGCAAAACGTCATCATTTTTTTTCTTCTTCTTAGAATTTTATATACTTTCAAAGAATATAATTATATTTAATTATTTAATTATATTATTACACTTGATTGACTTTATATTTAATGTTTTCTTGTATGATTATTTATTATCTTTTCAGTTGTCATTAGAGCGATAATAGTATTCGTAACTGGTTTTTTTTTTTTTATTTATAGTAGATGGCAGTCATGACAACTCGACACTTTCTGTTTACTGTATATCCTTTAACCTATCCTATATCTATCTATTGTTCAGAAAATAACCTGCCCAGCATTGGAGAATTTTGAATAGAAAAAAATCCATTATATTGTATAATCTACAAAAGTCTATATGTAAAAAAATTCTTAACAATCAAATTCACATGTCATCAACAGTTTAAAAAATACGTGTATCATTTTGTAACCTTGAAAATTTTTTTCAAAAATTGATAATTTTTTTTCTTTTTAATTTTCTATTTTATTTTAAACTAAAACTATCAATTGTCTTGTTGACTTGAGAATGATCGCAGAGGTTCTTGGAAAGGATTAATATATAATGACAGGTCAATTTGATTGATTAAATTTGCCTTATAGATCTCCTTTTGATCGCAGTATTAACCAGTCAAGTTAGTGACTACTATAAGTGTGAGTTTAATAGTCAAAGCAACGCGGCCAACATATATGATGGGTGTTTAAATCAACAAAGAACATTGCCAGTATCAACAGGATATACCGTTACATCTTATAGGTGCATACCAATAAGATCGAATACTTTTTTTTCTATAATAAAATTTTTTCCCGCATATGTATAATTTTTATATAAAAATTCAAGGGATTAAAAAAAAAACATTTCTTTTGTTAAATTATAACACATTTTTTTTTTGAAGATGGTATTTTCTAACGAGTACAGCATTCTGGCAATAATTTTTTTGCAGAAATTAAAAATATGTATATTTAATTTAATGTCACGTACTGAGAATATTTTGTCAATCGTCAAGTGCGCTCGTTAGCGGCATCCGTCAGAAAATGTGAACGCGTCGCGACGCCTTGACGTCTCGAAATAATCATATATACATAGTAGTCATCTATAGAATGCAATATGACTTTTGTTACGGGAATTATAAATATGAAATTTCAATTAGAGAAGCTTTATTCGCATATATTAAAGATGATTTTTGGGGCAAGTGTGTCAATACGCCCCAGGGTAGGGGTGTATTTGTACTGGAGTAAAGTATTAATGGCAATAAATAATCATAAATATTAAATTAAACACAGTTATGTGTTAAATAGATCAAATATTGTATAAAATATATATACACAAGTGTTTACAGGTACGTCAAAAACAATTGAAATTAGAGAATAGAAAAATTATACCATTTTTTTTTCTTTACACTTATTAATTTCACAATAATACAAAAATATAGTTCTATACGTTTTGTATTCACTTTTTGTTTAAAAAACATCAACGCTAATTAAATGAATAATGGTATGAGGAAATATATTTCGCAGCGAAATTATAACTATATTAATGTGTCATTAATAACAAATGAATTAATAATTCATTAATTATATTTTCTATTCATAATTTCAATTATTATTTTTTACACTTTTCTTGTATATATAATATATGTTTTCAAGAAAATTTTATATAAAAAGAGAGTTTCTTCACGTTTCTATATCAGTTATCGAGAAGCAATTTCGAAAGAAACATGAAGCCAATATTAGTAACTTGTCTTTTTTTGGCTGCTTTCGCCGTTACTGTAAGTTATTACAAATTACAAACACAGAAAATTAAAAGGCATTAAAATAAGCTGCAACGCTTATTATTTTAATCCAATTTTGCTTATTTTAATACCAAAATGGATTGAAATAAGCAAAATTGGATTAAAATAATAAGCGTTGCAGCTTATTTTAATGCCTTTTAATTTTCTGTGAAACAATACTTCCACTACGAAGGAAGCAATAATTTTATTTCCATTTAAACCAATTTTCTTAAATTCTGCAAAATTAAAATATCCAAAATTCGATACACAGAAAATTAAACTGCATTAAAATAAGCTGCAACGCTTATTATTTTAATCCAATTTTGCTTATTTTAATACCAAAATGGATTAAAATAAACAAAATTGGATTAAAATAATAGCAGCTTATTTTAATGCCTTTTAATTTTCTGTGTAAATGTAGAATTCATTTTAATCAAAATTGGGTTAAATAGAAATTCAGTTAAATAAAAATTAATTTAATTAAATTATTTATAATTAAATTTAGTAAAGTGGAGAATTATATTTTTATCTATGATTTAATAAAACAAAAAATTGTGTTCAGTACACTTGTGTAAGTGGACAGTCTGAAGCACCCGGAAGTACAACGTTACCACCATCAGATGATAACAGCACTTCTACTGATACTCCTTCAAATTCTACGGGAACACCTACATTGCAACCTTCGCCACCACCATCTCATAGACCACCTCATCATAGACCACCACACCATAGACCTCCTCATTGCCATCATCATCATCACGGACATCATGGACATCACGGACATCACGGACCACATCCTGGACATCAACGTGAACGTCGCGAGGAACCACAAGCCGAACACCATCACCATCACCATGGACATCATCACGGATTTCCAATTCCAATTCCAATTCCTGGAGGAATTGACATACAATTCTAAACTATTCATACACTGATAAAAAATTGTATATGGTCCGAGCAATCAAATGTTCGGTTAGTACAACCAAACTTTTGTTAGGCTAACCAAACAATTCGGTTGGCACAACCAAAGTTTGGTTGTGCTGACAAAACATTTTTTTCAGTGTATCTAAATACCCAAATATCTAAAAATCTGAAAATATTCTAAATATTCCTATTATTTTCACATGTAGTTTTTGATTGACTAATTCAATAAAAATTCACAAAAAGAATGAAAAAATCTTAATCGCTAGGGATCGAACCTTGGATTTCCATTTACAAGTCGAAAGTTCTAACCACTCGACTATGTTCGTATAACAATAAGGATTATACACTGAGAAAAATATGCTATTCAATCAACAGCATTTCTGCCAAAGGTATAAAAATTATTGATTCAAAAGCATATGCTATAAAATTTGTAAAATATTTTATACACGGAGAAAAAGAAAAAGTAATTTTTACTACTTTCAGAGTAAAACTGGACCAACTCGAAGTTTCTGCGCATCTCTGGCAATTTTTACTCCAAAAATAGTAAAATTTATTATTTCTGTAGTAAATTTTACTGTTTCCGTAGTAAGTTTTACTATTTCTAGAGTAAATTTTACTATTTTTGGAGTAAAAATTGCCAGAGATGCGCAGAAACTTCGAGTTGATCCAGTTTTACTCTAAAAGTAGTAAAAGTTACTTTATAAAAGAAATCTTTTTTCTCCGTGTAGGTTCTATAGCATATGCTTTTGAATCAATAATTTTTATACCTTTGGCAGAAATGCTGTTGATTGAATAGCATATTTTTCTCAGTGTAGAATTAAAATATAGTAATAAGAAATTTTCCAGTACAATATTTGTTAGAGATGACAAATTCAAATTCGTGATATGATTCGAAATATGCGCACAATGTTGAGAAATCATATAAACATAAGATAAACACAACATTAAAGATTCAAATCTGTTTCTTGACATAAATTTTGATTTATCTAGTATAATGTAATGTTATATTTAATCCACAATATATAATATAATTATAAATGTATATTTAAGGATAGAGAGAGAGAGAGAGAGAGAGAGAGATTGAACTTTATAGAATATAATGAGATATTGGATAAGTCAGTTGAAGAAATTGAATCTCAAGATACTACTGGTACAGTGTGGCAGTAAAGCGCCAAGCAAGATTCAGAATATCGAGTATAATAGGTTGGGGATGCTCTTGCAGGTGGTTGTGTGTGCGAGGATATGAACTGCTCATCCGTCGCTGTTTTCAGAACAAACTAGAAAGAGCTTACACTCATAACAAGAAAAATATTAAATCACCGACACTGTCGTCGCCTATACTTCTCACCACTTTTCAAAACTCCAAATACCTTTATATTTTTTCAATATATATATATAGAAACATAATTAGCAATTTTATTAAATTTTTTTCTCGAAAAAAATTTAATAGTTTTCTCTACATAGAAAATAATTTTTTCATTATTCTTTTATAAAGATAAATAAGATTTATTTTCCTAAGCAAAATTTCTGCTAATTATATGTTTATTTATTTATTGCCTACTAATAATACTATAAAGATGTATGGAATGCTCTTTTTTTCTTTTATAACGTTTTAAAAGAAGGTATTTGTTATATGCGTTTTTCTTTATTCTCTTTTTTTATAGACACGGCTTTTTTACTTAGCTATATATATTTATATATATCGTGTACGAGGGTTAATCCGCATCAGATTCGGACCAATTGAGCTATTATTTGAAAATAAAGAGAGAAAGAAAGTATATCGGACGAATCTATATAACTTGGCATTCTACCGTGACACCGCAGGAGGCATTTAAACAACAATAGTTTTGCGTAAACTCTACAAGCCAAATATAGACTTGGTTTTATATCGTAAACTTGTCTTTTTTAGTGAGTGTCTATTCTATATAGAAAATTCATTCAAATCCATTGACCCCTTAATTTTATCCAATATAGAAGATATACAATAAAGTATTTAAGAAATATTTTATTAACTGTATATATAAAAATATTTCAAAAAATATACAAATTCTAAAAGATATATACATATATGTATAAAAACTATATATATATATAAAATATATAAAAATATAGAATACATAAAATTTGAACTTTAGAATAAATGTTTAATTTTATGCGATAAATAGAATTTCTTTTCAATTGTAAAAAAAAAGGCCGCCTGCTTAGCAGAGTGTACATGGCTTTAATGCGTATTTGAAAGTGAAACAATCATGCGTATTGTGTTTGTATTTGAAATAAGCTCCCATATATAGAGTGCCCCCTAGCAATAAGGCCCTAATTTTTAGAATTGCCCTGAGGCTAACCTATTCAAGTACAGAACACCAATAACACCGTTTTTTATTGATGCACAATGACCCGTGCGACGGGAGAATATACGTGCACGACTGGGCACGAGCAATCATTTAATACATTTTGTATATAGACCATTTTGGGTCAAAACGATTCACGATTTAATTTTTTTTTCACACACACTAATTTAAATGTATCAAATTGATACCAAAAAAATCAAATTGATACGAATTTTTATATTAATTTGATAGTTTTCGTATCAATTTGATACTTTTAAATTACAGACAAATATTTTATATTCTAAATTTCTAACACCTTTTTAATATAAAAATAGATATATAAAATAACGAAAAAAAACTCTAAAGAAAAAATAAGGGTCCAACAGACCAAGAAAGCATGAAACGTGACATTTTTGGTACATAGCAATTATAACCTAAATCTTTTGGTATTGTCTTTATAAATTATAATTATAATAAGCACTTGAAAAAATAGAAAGAAAATTTTAGAATATATTTCTAAAAAAAAGTGTCCAAGAAGAGTGTTTGGAGGCAACAGCTTAAATTTGGTGTCAAGATCATATGGGAAGTAAAGTTTGCGTATAAACGGTGTCGGTCAACATTTGTTGATGAGGGGGTGAAAACAGTAGTGTGAACACCCTAAAATTAGCCCCGCAGCGGCCCTGTGTATTATAGGGCTCCCCAAATGATGGTATTCCGCATACCCACACGCAGCGGCGAAAGCGTGAAAAAATGCTTACATTATCATTCGTAATTTTATAAACACAATATGTACTCCTCTCTAACATCATTGGATCCCTCTTTTTTTTTTCACCATACAACGCTCTTGTTGTAAACGTTGCGGGTGGCCCCTGAATTAGAAGAAGAACCACACCACAAGTTTCCTATTATATAAACAAATTGTTTTATAACTGCTAAATGAGTGGTACCATTTTTAAAAATATAAAAAAAGCCTAGGAGTTAAAATTTTTTGAAACCGTTTTATCAAATTTTTTCTGATATATGGTATTTGTATCGCGTCTATATACCACTCCATAATTAAACTGAAAATTGTGGTAAAATGATTGGGAACCGTATATTGTGTATCTCTATTTCCAAACGAGGCGATATTACCGCATGTTTGCACAACCAATTTAGCATTTAATGTCATAATGACGCTCGCACTTTCTGTTTACTTTATTTTGGATTAAACGCATATCAGTCCCGCAAAATGTATTGCATTTTCTGAAGGTCATCGCGATTAAAAAAATATAAGAATAAATATATTTTCTTTTTTGTCTCTGCGGTTCGATTGAAAAACACCTGTCTTCGATTCAAGTGCAAGGTTTCTTCCTTAAACTTATTCAAGGTAATTTTTATTAAAAAAAAAAAATCTACAAAAGATTTTAAAAATCTAATTTTTAAAATGAGCGAATCTCTTTTAATTATTATATATATATATATATAGTTCGGTTATACATACAACAACGAAAGTTAGTATCGATTTCTCAGTATGGCGACTGAAATTTTCGTCGTTCTTGCCACCCCATTGGTAGACACAACCCTATTCCGTGGATATTTCCCTTCCTCATTTCAGAAACGGGAGGAGGAGTAAAAGGACGGACAGACGGACGGATGGATGGGTATAACGGAGCAATTCTAGTTTCGCGTTTTGCCAGGGGGTGTTCCTGGGAAAATGTACACCTGCTACTGCCTTTCTCCTGGACGAGTATAGACATGACGACGAGAGGAACCGTTTCCCAGAGATATATTAAAATATGTTATAATATATATATATACGACGGAAAGCGTGGAAATTAGCGACCAAGTTCTATATACGCCCTAAATTTGTGCATCTAATAAAAGCTATTTATAGGTTAATTAAGGAATAAAAACGATGAACAAATAGAAATCTCAAAAAGAAAGTATTTTAATATTATAAATAATAAATTTTAAATTAAATACAAGAAATTTTTATACAATTTCGATGATTTAATAAATATACGAATGCTAATATTATATTTTATAAATGTATATATACATTTTATTAGCCTATAGAGACCATTGCAAACATAAAGAAAACCTCACACGACCCTATTTATTTGCTGCTCGCATTAGATAGGATAAGCTCAAGTGTTTGAAGAATTTAAAGAAGAAATGTTTGACTTTTATCTGTACTATATATTGAGTTTTAGAAAATTGTAAGTTATTAAAATAAGATGCAACAAAATAAGAAACAATAGAAAACATCCTTAATAAAAAATTCCTATATACTCTAAAAGTATTTTTTATTTATACTATTAAGAAGAAAAAAAGAGACTAATCCCATATATAGTATATAAAATGTTAAGAATCACGTCTTTTGAAAAAACTAACGGATTGACCGCACCAGAGTAGAGCAGAGAGGATTTATAAACCTGAAGGTTATTATCCAGAGCACGTGTTATAGCAGATGCAGTTAAATCTCTCCCTCAGGACATATATAACAACTATACTGGTATGATAGAACTGGTTAAACAAAAAAAAAAAAAGAGTGTGTGTGAAACTCTATTTGAATTTACTATTATAGTTGATCCAAAAAAGTGAGAATTTAAAAAAGAAGAAATTGAATTTCAATTTATTGAAACATATTTTTTATGTGTAAATTTTGTTTTCATATGCGCAAAAAAAAACTATTGACGATAATAAACTTAAACCACGCGAGCTTTAAAACCGAAAATCCCCAGAAGTATATATCGCGCGTCGGAAGTATAATCAATGTATCTTTCGTTGTTTGGCCATAAATTCCTAACAGAAAGTGAGATGCCTCTGTTTAAAACCGCTAGCCAACTAATCACCCTGGGCTTTCAAATATCTAAGCACTTGCATATCTGTTTAACTGACTTTCAATTTTATAACATTAACCAGGGTTGCAATTTTTTTTTTTTTTTTTTTTTTTTTCAAATGTGGAAAAATGTTAAAGGATTGGATATAAATTAAAAAAAAGAATTCGTTTTAGTTGTGTGTGTAATATATTTATATTTCGGGAACAATTTATGAAGTTGTCAACAACTATATATATTATATAATATTTGCTAATTATATAATATATAATGTCTCACAAGGTTCCATATATATTTATACATTTCTATTAATATATATATATTTCTTTTATATTCTATACAATCTACACTTATCTATATATATATATATATACTTATAGTTTTTTTTTTCAAATATACACGCAGAGATCTACTCTGAAAAAGTTGAAAAATTAGAGAAAAATCTTTGCTGGGCATATTACATAAAAGATGATTTTTCCCAAATTTTTACAAAACTTTTTGGAGTCTAAAACAAAATTTTGCTACTCAAGTTTTTTTTTTTTTATATATATATATATATAATTTTAATGTACCTAGCTAACGCGTCTTATCTATTCACATTATTTTCTTATATATATAATTTATATACTAAATTATGTATCAATAAATATATCTCAGCTCTCTTTCGAAAATGAAAAAATCACAAATTTGAATTTCTTCAAATATTATCCGTGAATTTGACATATTTCGATAAATGCACATAACCGACTGGATTTTTTTTTAAAGACTAAATATAAATCTTCCTTGACGGTATTATTTATATTTTTTTTTTTTAAATAAATTTTCTACCGTGCAATAATTTTTATTATTAAAAAAAAAATGAATTCTGATAACTGATCTACGTTTTAACAATAAAATTTAACTTTTTACAAGAGGACATGGCTTTCCATATATTACATAAACATTTACAATTTTTTTTTATCATTCTTAAAAAATGATTTAGAATAGAATTTTGGTTATTAAAAAACAAAGAAGAAAATAATCAAAAAAAAGGAACTGGAAATATTATGAACAATTGTCTAAGATTTTTAAGGAATAAATATTTTCGATTGATATTATTATTAAAATGATTATTTTTTCATATTTTTTTCCTTCATTTATATATTTCCTATATAACGTTTTTTGAGTATTGAGACCAGAAAAATATTTGCCGAAAGCCAGACCGCATCAAATTTTTTACAAATTCAATAATATATAGTATACAATTTTACGGTAAAATTTGAATATACCGATTGTGTAAGGTCAGGAAAGACATTTGCTCAGGTGATGCGAATCGTATCTTTACATATATGAGTAATATATATGTATTGCAAGAGAATTCGTCACTTTTTAAAAATTTTCATATGTACAATATATACACATTTTCTTCAATAATTTATTTCAATATTTAAAAATTTATTGTTGTAAATGAAGAAAATTTATGATTGAAAGATTGGAAATATTTTTTTTTTTCAACTTAAATTTGGAAAAAATAGTTATTTCAATTTTTTCGTTAGGAGTATGCTTATGAAAAGAAGTTTCATTTAATAATAAATAGTAATTTTTTTTTATATATAAATTAAGGAGGCAATAGATTTTTTGAATTAATAAAAATTTTTAGTTCCATTCTTTTGATAGTTCTTCGGATGTATGGACTGGAATCCATTCTTGTTTTACATAAACAAGATTAGGATCATAATGATTGATAGTACCTTCAAGGTCTCGATGAGACCTTGAATTTCGGTATTCTCAGTATTTATGCAACGTTATTGGTAAATTTCCACTTGCATTGACAGCATTACAGTCTTGATAATATCTATGATATAAAGGTGGAGATGGTGCTGCGCCTGAAGAAAGAGATGTTGGCGGGCTAGACCTGAAATAATTAATAATATTCAATAATGAAAATTCATAAAATTTTTAATTAAAAAAACAAATAAATAAATGTTAAACCTAAATTGCAGTTATTATTATTATTATTATTATTATTATTATTATTATTGATTAACGTTCTGAAATGAATATTTAAAGAACATAAAGAAGACTGAAGATAAATTACATATTATATATACATATATTTTGATCAAAAACAAATTGCAATATTTAAGGAAAATGTCAAACAGAAATGTACAGGAAATGAAGCAAGAGTAGATATACGAAAACATTTGTAACGAAAATAAATGAGGAAATTTTTTTAAGTTAGATTATAAGGAAGAAAAAAAGCTCAACAAAAATTTATGTAAAGGAAAAGAAAATGTTTTAAAACAATTTTGCTGATGTAAGAAAAACATTAAGTCAAATATTGCTACTGTTCTTAAAACAGAGTTGATTTTCTATAAATTTTAAGCAAATGCTTCTTTATAACAAAATAAAAAAATTCTTTCTGAATAATTAAGAGGCTGAATTTTGTTATTTTATTCCAATAATGATTAGAAATAAAATTTTTATTGAGTTATATATAAATTTAAATTCAAATGAAAACTGATTTAATAGGAAACAAATTTTTGAATATTTTTATAACAATAAATAAAAAGGAACATTTTCTCGAAATTTAAAAGAAAATTGATTTTTTAAGAAATCATTCAGTCAACTTTTGATATAAAAAATAATGCAATAGAATAATAATAATAATAAAAAAATATCTGAGTAATATTTTAAGTAGTATGAGTCAATACCTATAAAGTTGGCAGCTTGGTGACTGTGTCTCTTGATAAATGGTAGCAGCATCGGGACTTGCAGCTTCTTGATACCACTGGGTATGTCCTGTATTATTAGGATTTCTAGACGATGAAGAATTATATTCAGCATGATCCATAATATATCCAGAGGGACAATAAGGAGCGTACATCGAACTGGGTGGTGAAGGATTTCCACCTCTTGTCGTTGACACATGGCCATATCCCGACGATGCCATCATTGCTGCAACTGCTGCCGTTGTTGTTGTTGTCGTTGTTGCTGCTATGGAAATATCTCTACTACCAATACCTCCACCCATTGCATCCCTTGATGCTGCTGCTGACATTAAGGAATGTGGATGTCCATGTGGATGTTGAAGTCCATGTGAATGATGATGAGAAGGATGATGATGTTGATGATCCCTCGTTGAATTGTTCATCATTGTACCATTTTCTCGACTTGTCATCAAGGCATCAACACTAAAACTGGTTGGATCCAATCCCATTGCAACATCTTGAATAGGTTCCTGATGCACCTGATGTACAGAATGTGGACCCAATGCACTTTGTATAACACTTTGTGTTGTTGAATTTTTATTATCCTGAATTGGTGTGTGAGCATATTTACTAATCATACAATGTGAACCACTGGGATCGTTAATTGGTTCTCTTTTTGGTTTACAAAGTCCTGATTCTAAAATTTTTTTCGTCGAATTATCAGTCGATGATAAAACACTTAAATTTGTTTTATTATCTTCAGAACGTTTCTCTTGTACTAATCCTTGTCGTTTCATTGCATCTTCTTTTTCTTTTAATGCATCTTTCTTTTTGAAACGTCTTCGTCTTCTTAGATAAGAACCATTGTCAAACATATTATAACTATCTGGATCTAGTGACCAATAACTTCCTTTTCCTGGTTTCTTATCATCTCGTGGTACTTTAATAAAACATTCATTAAGACTGAGATTATGTCTGATTGAATTTTGCCAGCCTTGTTTATTCTCTCTGTAATAGGGAAATCTTTCCATTATATACTGATAGATACCGTTGAGGGTAATTTTCTTGTCTGGAGCATGTTGTATTGCCATGGCTATTAAAGCAATATAGGAGAAAGGTGGCTTCACCATATCTTTTCCAGGATGATGAAATTGTTGTTGGGAAATCCCCGTAACTGGATAGCCAGCGGCCGTCGCATAACTCCCGTAGCGATATTGTTCGTAATATCCGGGTGTGGCGCCGACGCTTGGGTAAGAAGGAGTCCCCATACCTACAGGCACTGCTGTCGCGTGCCGATAATAGGCATTTTGTTCACCAAAGAGGGTATGCATTTTGTGGATTTTTTTTTTTTTGGGGAGGAAAAGGGACCGAAAGCTCTCAACACAGGCTAATTCCAATAAAGTTACCAATCTTAAACCTGAGCCATGTTTCAAATAGTCCAATGTGTACTGATCAGATTATGAGATTTTGGTTACTTTTTCTCTTGAGAATACACACACACATACACTTTTAAGGTGAGCGGTTAAAGTTGTCCATTGTCATATCAATCACTAATTTCACTGTTTTGCATCATCACAGTATTAACAAGAAAGCACTTTATTAATATAGTCAAACTATAAAAAAACACTTTACACTTATCACTTTTTTAAAAGTCATAAAATATCTTGGATATGAAAATAAAAACACGGATTTTGAATCGTAAAAAAGAAATTTTGTTTTGTTATCAACTTTTATAGGTCAAGTGATATATTCAAGATTTTCTGTTGGTGCTGGTGGGTAACCTATCTATAAGCCGCATGCACGAGATATTATGATACACAACAGAAACGCGTTTACTCAATCCCGAGTGAAAACACACTACTGGGAACCCACACGTCTCTTTGCTGAGAGCGAAGTGCGTTCTAGGGATGCGCAAGGAACCACACATTCAGGCACCAAAAAATCACGAGAAAATTTCTCTCAAACAAGTTAACACACGAATAGTAGTGGGAGAGAATGGTAGTTGGAAATGATTGGTTCTTGTCAATGAAACCACACCTCCCTTGTCCTGGAAACCAATGGAGAATGTTCTATCCTAGGGGATTAATGAGGAAGGCTTTCACGCCCCCTTTAGAGGAACACTGTTCGTTCCCCAAGTGAAATATGTATGCGTTGCGCTTTGTCACGCCTTCTATTCAATGTAAAAGCCACACTGGAAAGCACACATACATATACAAGAGAGAGAGAGAGAGAGAGAGAGAGAAAGATAAAACAAGAATGACGACATTATATAGTGGGAGGAGAGAGAGAGAGAGAGTGAAAAGAAAATTTAGCTACCGGTGCTTTATAACTAACTGATCCAAAGTGTGAGTACAAAGGCTTTATTTGGCTTTTCATTTCTTTAACAGATTCATTGGACTCTTCTTTAGAATCTCTAGAATGCAAAATTTAAGTACAAGAAATAGAATTTTATATTTTCTATATAGTAAAAAAATTATTTCTTGCAACAAAAGACAAGAATTTGTAAAAACGTATATGTGGTATACTTTATAATCAAAAAAGTAATAATAAATGAAAATTAATTAATATAAAGATGTTATAAATCCTATATTTATTTGAAAAGACATTTTACGCGGACATTTATAAAATATAGTCTCGAGAGTTTTAGAAGAGGATAGATTGAGGAACGCGGGCGCGTTCTTATATATATACGAAAAGGGAGATTCAATTTGGTGTCTGTTTTTCCAAGAGTTCGACTCTCGCCTTGCAAAAACACTCCAAAGACACCTCTACTATCTCAGGAAGTTGCGGTGGATCTTCGGTAAAGCGTACATTGAAAGCCCGCAAGTTTGAATATATATATATATATATAACATTCTTACTTTAATTCATTGAACTGCTTTTTATATCTACACTCGACATGACATTGCACTTTAAAGTATATAGAACACTCCATTTTATTTATATTAATACTGTTAGCACTATATCACATCAGACTATTTAACATATAACGCGCATGAATTAGGCAAATTCTAAAGTTAAATCTTCTATAAAGAGTTTAATTTTAATTTAAATGCAAAAGTATATATATACTGTTAATAAGTTTCCAGTTCACGAAGCTTATTCTCTTGAGAGCCCAAGAAAGAAAACAGTGCATTTGAAGTTAAAAAAGTTAATAGTCTTCTATTGGTATTTTCCTTAATTATTTGTATGTTTAAAGACACTTTTTCTCTTTTTAGTATAATTACAAACAAAAAGTTATAATACCAAGAAACTTTTATATGAGAAAAAATATTTGCAGGATCCAAGAGAAATTATTCACTTGTTCAAAAAATTATTATCGAGCAGCATAAATATTTACAACTGGTGAGCAGACCTTTTTGCAGCTGTATAATAAAAAAAAATTATATATATTTTCACTTTCTGATGACAATAATTTAACATTTTTTAATTTGAAAACAGAAGGTATATATAGAAATTCAAGTTGTGTGGACCGGATTAAATAAAATGAAGCAAAATCTCTCTATGATCAGAATTTGAAATGGGCAATCATTTTTTTTTGTTACTGATTTTTCGAACAAAAAAATTTTAATGGACAGAGCTTCTGTCAACTTTTTTGAGTTTTGACATTTATATTTTTTGTATAGAAGATCAAAAACTAAAACTATGAATTTTACAAGAAATTTCACCGAAATATAATTTTTCCAATGCGAAATCTTAATACAGCGAGAGTTATACATTTTTTGATTCAAAAATCAACTCCAAAAAAAGAACACAAAAAGAATGAGACTTTTATAAGAAACCCGAAATAGAAGTTTGATCTTTCTTTTTTTGAAAATTCCAAAAATTGGTAAGAGTGGAAGGTTTCCTATATCCTTATGTTACACATCGGGGTATCCCTATATTTATACAGGAGTGAAGGAAATTGAAGAAGGGGTTAGAAGACGAAAATGAATATTTCGTTACTAATATAGAATTCAGAGGTAAAGCGCAGCAGACCTGCAATCGTGTTTGTTATCTTTATGTTGAGATTCAGCGTGCATGCTCGTCATATCCTCGGTCCTCTGGTACCGCAGGGGAAAAACACGTAAACCAACGAATTACATTGCCATCAGACATGATGCAGATTGCCAACTGTCTACTGTACTGCGCGGAAAACAGCAAAATGGAAAAGAAAGGTCAAAAACCATAAGATTCTAAGTCCAATATATTTATAAATTAATCCGAAAACTTATTGTACACACTAAAAAAGAAATCTTGATTTCAGCCTATTTTTGAGGCTGAATTTAAGGTGTAAACGGAGTCAGACCAATTAAAAAAGGACAGACTTATGCAAAATATATGGGCTTAATTTAAGGTGTAAACGGTTTAAGACTTTGTTTTTACTGTGTTATTGTATTTTAGAGAAAAATAATTGAAGTTTTCACAGTTTTCTGAGGCTTTCAAATTGAGACCATAAACAGCATCAAAACGTTGCATTATCAACAATTTGATACACTTTATGGTCTCAATTTGATACCCTCAGAAAAACTGTGTTGCAAAATTAGTTATACAATATTTCAAAGTAAAAAGAAAGTCTTATTTTAAGACAGAAAAGGTGTCTTATTTTAAGAGGCAACATTTTTAAGACAGCCCTTGCTGAATCTAAGCAATGAATTTACATGTAATTTGAATTTAAATATACATAATTATATGACTAGTACTGCTGAATTTAAGACTCATCTTAAAATAATAAGATTTACTTTTTACAGTATGCTTAAACAGATGATTTTTTTCAAAACTGATATAATTTATGTTATATTTTTAATAAATATCAATTATATGTATTAGGTATACTTTTTTTATATTAAAAGGCTGTGAGGTAACGATAGGATTGAACAGAGAAGAGAAAGAGCTAAAAGGGCCAGTAGAATTGAATCGAATAATGTATACCGGGTGGCAATTTCACGCGACAAGTCCTTCCATCAGCATATCAATGGGCCAGGAGGATTATCTGGATATGCTGTCTGATATTCTGTGGTTGGCTCGAGCAGATAGGGTTGTGCACATTCTCCTCGTATATACATATATATATATACCGACAGGAAATATTCAATTCAAGTAACAGTGTGCATTATTATATATATACATATATGCACACATTTTACAATTGCATATATATATATATACCTAATGTCACTTTTATTTTTTCTACTTAAATGTATAAAATTATTCTTGTGAATCCTACTATATTATAAAAATTAGAATAATATTCTTAAAAGAACAAAAATTCATCTCTTGAATATAATTATAATTATTAACTAAAATATATTTATAATTTAAATATAAATTTGTTTGTCATAAATAAAAATAGTAAAATTCTTTCCTATGGAAAAATCTGTTGTAAAAAATATTTAAATATGAATATTTATTATGAATTAGATTTTGGCATGAGAAAAAATGAACGGAAGGAAGAAATATGAGAGATGCAGAGCTGTCAAGTAATCATCCAACCTTGCAGACACTTTTTTCCTATTCGTTTCTTATGGCGCCGAGTTGTCATATATATATGCATGACAGATGCAATGACTCAATTTTAGGTTTTTGATAGACTTTTTTTTACTGTTTCCAAAAATACTAAATATGCGATTCTAGTCAACAGGTTTTGAATTCAATGAAATACTAAAAATTAATCGTCATGTCGCAAACAAGAAAAGTTTTTATCCAAAACAACACAAAAATATATATACATGCTACTCTTAAATAAACCAAACAGAAAAATATTTTTTCTTTTGCAAAATCAAACTTCATTTCTAAATACACTACTCTAACACTATTATCAAAGCAAAGTGTGCTTGTTTACATAGGTACCTGACTTAAGTTTTTGAACAACTTTTCCTATCAAAATATATACAATATATGTATATAATATATCTCGTGAAATAAATTTCTTCTTCCATATAATTAATTGAAAGACATCAAGCTAATAAAAATAAAACGAAGAAACTCGTCTACAAAAAAATTATCGAAATCTTTTTAATAATAAGTATACAATTTTTTGATAAATTCAGTTATTTTGTACTGATAAAATTATTTATTTAAAAATGGAAATTTTCATATATGTTTGTAACAAACGAATTATGAAGCTCATCAATTAATGGACAGTTATTTCACTATAGTGAAAGTTTTGAATCACTTTTGGAAGAGTATAAGACAGCTAATTCCCGATGTTTAGTCAGCAAGCATTTAAGGTTTGTCTTGGCCGTTACTCTGTGTCTTTTAGACAGTCGATCTGTGTTTCAACCAAATGAAATTGTGGCTAAATGATTCTGACGAGTTGATGAGCTATAGTGATAATGAAAATGGTGTATATGCGTGAAAGAGTCCATCAATTACCTAAAAGAAATATATATCTAACGTTTTGTTAATTTATTAGAAACATCGCAATCTTTCAGTTTAAAAATACAGATTGACAAAAAACAATAATTTAAATTGTAATTTTTTTTTCTTTGCTCTGATTAGCGAGCGAATTCATTGCCTAATACAAATAGGATACGCGATTAGATACTTGGCCACATATGTAACCGCGTATACGAGAGACTTCCATAACCCTCCTCGGCACAAAAGATTTAGAGAAGTTGCGGCTGAACAAACATCACTATATGCTATATGTACGCGGGCACGTTCCTTTTCCCTTCAAGCAAGAATCCCTTGGTGTATATATATATGTACAGAAGATATATATATACATGCACTATATACTTATCGATATGTGGAAGATGACAGCAGGTAATAAAGGCATTATTTACTATATATTACATATGAAACTAAAATTTAAAATAATAACAATAAATTGTTACCCTAAATTTCACTTTATTTTGTATTTAAATGTGACCTATTTCCACGAAACTACGCGGCGGTAGGTTTTATGACATGTGATGTGTTCACGTCATGAAACTA